TGTGACAAACTGTTTCGTCGGAGTTTCACCGACTCATCAGGAGGCTGAACCCTCAACAGTCTGCAGAATCCCCTCACTGATTATATATATATATACATATATATCGTCAAATAGAACTGCCCGGTAAACCGTAGGCAGAGAGGGATATATATATATATATATATCACACACACACACACACACACACACACACACACACACACACACACACAGGAGACGAAGACAAAACGTACTAACCTGAGTCCCCCATCCTGTGGTTGCATCCACCGGCTTCCCGCCCTGTCCCAGAACCTCCGAGCGGCCTTCACAACAGCTCTCCACTACAGCACGCACACACACACACACGCACACACACACACACACACACACACACACACACACACACACACACACACACACAAAGGGCGTCTTCGAGCACACGCAAAACCAGTCAGCCGCAGAACAGGGCTGCAAGACACTGCGTCGCATTCGATAGGTCAGAGTTTGTCGCGTTCGCTACGGTTGTCCCTTCTCCTTTGTCGCATCCAACGGGCCGTTGGTGCTGGTCGGACCTCAGTGCAGGGAAAGCGCCGCCCTGCAACGGGCAAAAATGCCCTAGCCCTCTACACAGGGCCCTACCGATTGTCCAAGAATCGTGCGACGATCCAGGCCGTTCCTGGCCTGACGGCCGCGATTGGCCCGCGATCTTAAAGTTCAAATATCGCAGGGCAATCCAGGCCGTCGGGCCGGTATGACCACGAACGGCCTGGATCGCCATGCGATCTTAAAATCTTAAGATTCCGGGGCAATTCAGGCCGTCGGGCCGGTAGGTCCACGGACGGCCCGGATGACAAAATTCTCACATTAGTGATTTTAATAAGTGTAGGGATTCAGGTGCCCACCCACTTGCCCGTCTACTTGGTCTTTCATTGTTCAAAGTTGGCTCTTTTCGTTTTGGTGGAACACGACGACTTTCGATGATCACAAGACCCACCCTCCATGGACGGTTTTCAGGAGGTTAGCGACATCATTTTGTAGTGAAGGTAAGACACCAAGCCGACGGAGTACTTAGTACATTTCTCTTATTGTAGCCATAAGGCTGACCATTGGTTGATCCGTGCGAAACTTCAGGCTACAGCCCCCGATGTTCTCGCACGTTGCGAACGCAAACAGCAAGGCAGGCCAGCACCTTTGGCTCCACGCCGTACTTGCATCCAGGTTCCCCCTTCCGATTGTCAGCTTCGCCCTCAACCCGGCTTGACTTCATAAGGAGGGGGGGATGTTACACGCTACGCCTCCACACGGGCCCCATTTTGAGGGCCCAACGGTTGTTGGGGGCCCCCAGGCCGCATGCACTGCAGGCAAGGGCCGCAGGTTTCGATTTAAGACAGCATTTATTTATTTATTTATTTAGTTGCTGTCCTATTTTTGTCTATTCAGGCATCGTTTCGGACTCGCAGTACATCCGAACAGACCTTGTGTCTGTTCGGACAAAGGCCACACTTTGGGCCTGGTATGAAGGCAAGCAGGCCCTTTTTGGGGCCAGGTCCGTGTTTGTCCAATAATGGACACTCCCTTCTCCATAAGTAGGGAAGGCCTGGACGTCGGGTAGGGTCCCAGGCAGGCCACGTTTGAGGCCAGGACCAGAGGCACACGCAGGCACACGCAGGCACACCAGCAAGGCCCAGCCCTACAAGTAATTGGGCCAGACCAGGGCAGACACATGGTTCGAGTAGCTCACTTCTAGGGCGACATGCTGCTGGAGCAGTGCGACACAGCACTGCCCTGTAGAGGTAGAGGTGTAGGTAGGAGGTGAGGCGGAGGCCATACCTGCAGCGGTGATACTTACCTCGCGCCATAGCCGCACTCCATGTCGGCAACCTGCTCGGGGACCACGGCGGCAGTTAGTACATGGCAGGTGAGACAACGAGGAGGACAACATATTCTTCTTCTTCTTCGTTTCGCCTTCCATCTCTTCTCCCTCCTTCCTCCTTCTTCTTCTTCTTCTTTCACAAAGAGAGAGAGAGAGGTTACACGCAGAGGTTACATCAGGCATGAAGCCCAAGATCTGATTCGACATTTTGTGGCAGACATTGATTGGACATTCGGCAGGGAGACTATTTTTCGACTTCGCTATTGCGATCTTGGTCTTCTCCCTCACCTCCATATTCGTCTCGCCTCTCCCCCATCTTCATCCGTGGTATTTCCCCCATGTGTGTTTGCAAGGAAGGACCTTTCTTTCCATGTGTGTGGTGTATGATGGGATGTCGCATCACTATCTGACAGGTCAGATCATATCTTGAGTCTTCCGCTGGGCTACATTGTGCTATTTTCATATGTATCTGGATGTACATTTCTTGTTGATGCTTTGCGGACGCTGCATTGTCCATTCGAGTCCTTCTCATCACTTTGCGGATCCTTGGCTCCATATACATTGCTCAACTGAGCATGTATCACTCTGTTACATGCACAGATATGCCATGTACGTAATAACCGAGGATCTGCAATGTGATGAAAAGGACAGAATGGACAATGCAGTGCGAGTAGAATCTCGACAGACACTCATACAGACAAAAGGTGCTGAATAGCGCAGGGAAGACTTTGATACAAAGACTGACCTGACAGGACTGACCTCATTCACGTAGTTCAGAGTAGCGAAACAAAATGCTAGAGTAGTACTAACTAGCCCAATCAATGTTTGAACTCAGACTAAACATGCATGATATCCATCACCAAGTGTGAAGGAGCCTGGCGCTGTACACAGGAAGAAAGCGCCAGGTCCAGACATACACAGACGAAGAGATAAGGATCAGACGAAAGGAGGGAGAAGGATG